TAATTCTAAAAATATTAAGATTTAAAATTAAGTAATTAAATTATTTATTATATAATTTTTATATTAATTTTAATCAAATTTTATATAATAAAATTTAATAAATAATAATTAAAAAAAGTTATTAGTAAAAATTTTTTTATAAAAGATATATAATAAAAATTTCTATATTTAATAAATTCCAATATTTAATAACTTAATTAAATAAGACAGAATTAAAAATTTATCTTGAAAAAATAATCTATTAATATTTATCTGAAATACAAATCTTTTTGCATCAACTCATATAATTAATAAAAATTAAAGTTATTAATAAAATTATACTTAAATAAAATATAAATAAAATTTGAAATATATAATAAAAAATAAAATCAATTCAGACTGAAAGAAAAATTAAAGTATTTATCAAGCTTTTCTAATTAAAAAAACTTTAATTTTTATCTGAATAATACAAAGTTTTCACAATTATAAAGCACAAATAATTATTATTTGATACTAAATAGAGAAATATCAACTTTCTGACACTTTGAACAGGCAATATAACTGAAAATCACCTGGTAAATGTCTTTTCTAAGACAAAGAATGATGTGCTAGTTGTAATTGAATTACCACAAGTTTAGGTAGATCTTAGTTATCAAAAAGGTAACATTAATTTTTGATCAGCGGGTCTATTTAATCATCGACCTTATTTCATTAGATTTTTTCGCGTCGAAAAGCTAACCAAAGATGCAGACTCCCGTAATTGTAATGAGTATGTATGCTTTTCTATTCATTTTAATTTGTGCCTTGATTGCGTCAATTTCTTTATCCAAGCCAATGAAACTCGACAACTGAAATTTCTTGCACTATTTAGACACAAATGTTGAACGAGAAACGGGTCGTAAGGCCCAAATCTCGAATATAACAGCTGCAAAAACTGTAGCAGACATTATCCGAACTTGTCTTGGTCCACGTTCAATGCTTAAAATGCTCCTTGACCCCATGGGGGGAGTAGTGCTGACTAATGACGGAAATGCCATCCTTCGAGAAGTTGAGGTGGCTCACCCGGCAGCAAAAAGCATGATTGAGCTTAGTCGGACGCAGGACGAAGAAGTTGGCGATGGAACGACTAGTGTCATTATTTTGGGTATGACTCTTATATATATATATATATATATATATATATATGCGATTGATTGTTTGCAAATCCATTGAAATATTGATTACTTTTTTTTTTGAAAATTGATTTATATAGCTGGTGAACTTCTCGCACAAACGCTTCCATATCTTGAAAGAAATATTCATCCAATAGTTATAATTTCTGCTTACAAAAAGGCTCTTGATGATGCAATCAAAATCATTGATGGTATTTCAGAGTCGGTAAATATTGAGAATGAAGAAGAAATGTTAAATTTGGTAAAGAGTGCGCTTGGAACAAAATTTGTGAGTCGATGGAGTGATCTAATGTGTAAATTAGCATTGGATGCTGTGCGCACAGTTGCCAAGGAGGAAGATGGCAAGCGAGAAGTTGATATAAAACGATATGCTCGAGTTGAAAAGGTTTTTAATTTATTTTTTAAATTTACTTTTGAGAACCTAATTAATGCTTTTTGTGGATTGAAAAAAGGTTCCCGGTGATGAAATTGAAGATTCGAAAGTTTTAGACGGAATAATGTTAAACAAAGATGTAACTCATCCGAAAATGCGTCGTAAGATTGAGAACCCGCGTATTGTGCTTTTAGATTGTCCTCTTGAATATAAAAAAGGCGAGTCACAAACTAATGCAGAAATTATGGATGAAAATCATTGGAATCGGTTATTACAAATTGAAGAGGAACAAATCAAGGAAATGTGCGATAAAATTATATCGGTGAAACCTGATTTGGTTTTCACGGAAAAAGGTGTTTCCGGTGAGTTTTCTCAATTTGTTAAAAATTTTTTAACTAAAGTATATAATCTTAATTTGGATATATCTATTTGAAACGTAACAAGATCTTGCACAGCATTATCTAGTGAAAGCTAATATCACTGCTCTCCGCAGAGTTC